ATTAAATATTGAAAAGATTATATGTCTGTCTCACATAATTTACACGGTATACATTTTGAGTGATATAATGTTATTTCACACACTCAAAATTGATGTTCTGTTGTTGTTGTAGAGAAATTATTTCTGATTTGAGTTACATTTTTGAAAGTACAAGCCAGAGAATTAATCTATTTGTTTTTTCCACATTTGTTTTCACAGTGAGGAAGGCGATGAGGATATGGCTTCTGGATGCCCGAGTATTATGGGGAAGATGCCATCAAGGTCAGGAGGTACTGCAGGAGGCAGGCATGACAATCACTCACCTTTCGGCGAAATTTGCCGTTTTGAATCCAAAATAGGTCGTTTGTGTGATTCATGTAGATCTGCAATAAAAATATTGTTGGGGTATGGGGGGACCCGGAGTAATCTGCGGCCGTGAGCTGTTATGTGCAATTCATGACACGCATGGTGTTCTTTTTTTATATATTATAATGCAGCGCGAGCTGTGTGCTCGAGTCTTCCTGCCTGTCGGCTCTGCTGCTCCGCGATGATGGTCTAGCTTCAGCAGCCACATTACCTACGGGTGCGTTCGTTAATATTAACTGTGCGGTCCGGAGTCACTGTGGTACAGACTGGACCGCTGGTGAACTGCTGTTAGAACGGGCCGTTCAGGTGTTCAGCGCAGAGCTCCCTGTCGGAGCGCAGAGCGTGATGTGCACTGAAAAGTTTTTTCTGTCGCAATATTATCGTTGAGCTAGCTAGCTAGCATGCATTGTCACTATCTGCTAACGTTAGCTTTAGCCTTCGTTTTCTAATAGTTTTTTTTCATAGGCTATAAACGGAGGTGGTATAAGTATAGATCTTGTACTTGAGTAAAAGTAGAAGTACTCAGATCTTGTACTTGATTAAAAGCAGAAATACTCAGATCTTGTACTTGAGTAAAAGTAGAAGTACTCAGGTCTTGTACTTGAGTAAAAGTAGAAGTACCAGAGTGTAGGAATACTCAGTTAGTAAAAGTACTGCATTCAAAATGTTCCTCAAGTAAAAGTAGAAAAGTATTCTCATCAAAATATAGTGAAAGTAGCGACAGTAAAAGGAGTCGTTGTGCAGATTGGTCCATTTCAGAATAATATATATGATATGTTTTATAATGATTGATCATGAAAGTGTTCTCAAAGCTGGTAAAGGTGCAGCTAGTTTGAATGACTTTGTAGACTGCAGGGTAGCTTGTGGATTTACTCCAGGTGGAACTAAAGTCTGATTCAACACTTGATTAGATTTCACATCATTCATCCACATCTGTAAAGTAACTAAAGGTATTAATACATGTAGTGGAGTCAAAGTACACCATTTACAAGTATCTCAAAATTGTACCCAAGTATAGTACTTGAGTTTATGAATTTAGTTACTTAACACCAGATGCCATAAAGATAGAAAGACTAAGCCTTGCACAGAGGCATGACAATATATTTTCAAAATGCTCAACAGTGCTGCCAAAATTATAAACTGACTGCTACACAATTAAAATAAATGCTTTTATATATTTCTATTAGATGTGACTCTTTAGCGTTTCTGTTATTATTAACACTGCTGCTTTAGTTGTTTTGACTGCTAAAATCCTCTGTTATTCCTCATTTTAAAGCCGATATTCCGTGGGGTCGGGGGGCTCGGGTCCTTGTCACCTTTTCCATACCTGATGAGTTTGCATCCCTGATAATACTTATTAATATTATATTTTTGACTCATGGCTGAAGTTAAGTTTCTCCAGCTCTCCCCAGGTTGGCAAAAAAATGCATCTCAAAATGCATCAGATTGATACTTTAAAATATGGAATATTCTAAATGTTCTTCCGGGGTAGCATGCCCCCGGACCCCCAGGGATCACCAACTACATTTGTCCAAGGGCCAAAATGTATCCAATAGACACTATCGCGGGCCAGCGATTTTTATATAGTCCAGAATTTTGAAGTTGTAGACCGGGGGGGGGGGGGTATTGAGTGTTCTGTAATCAGTTACTAAATACTGAATACATGGCTCTGAAAGTAATCAGAATACAGTTACAGTTACGTGTCTTCAACGTTGGAATCGGGTCTACTTTAACATATTCAGATTTATTTTAGAATACTTTCTTTTTCCATAACAGATGGGTATGTTTTGGTGAACAGGAGACATGTATTTTACTGTTTTAATGGCTTATCAAGAACTCAAACACAACATCTTGGTGTCATTCTGGACAGCTCCCTCTCATCTGCACCACACATAAAAAACATCACCCGGACTGCATTCTTTGTACTGACTTAAAACCTTTCCTTAGAATATGTTATGAATTGTAAGGTGTCCTTGGGTGCTTTGAAAGGTGCCCCTAAATAGAATGAATTATCATTATTATTTATTATTATCTGAAACGATGTAATAACTTTTAAAACTGTTTCCAGTCACTTGACCCATGCATTCAGCAGCAGCAGGCCATTCACTTTGATTTTATCCCGTTATAAATGTCATCATTTCGACAATAAATAAATGCTACATAAACGTTATCTTCCACATTTTATCTAACCATCTCCGTTTCTAACTTTCAATATATTTTAAAAGAGATCTCTCTCTCATCTGCGTGCGGGGGCGGGGCCTCACAGACACGCTGCATCTCTCTCTCTCGCTCACAGACATGCTGCAGCGCTGTGCAGTGTGCACACAGTTCTGCCGGTAATGAATATTACATTTTATGAGGATATTTTTCCACCAATAATTCCAATAAGTATTCCAAAATGTATTCACTTCAGGTTTACGAAAGTAACTGTAATCAGATTACTCGTTTTTCAAATGTAACGCCAGCTGAATACAGTTAGCCTACTTGATTTTTGTATTCTGATTACGTAACGCCGTTACATGTATTCCGTTACAACCCAACCTTGCGTCTAGGCTACTGTCCCGCAGCTCCTGCCTCTCTGTTGGACTCTGTCGCAGCGGGGCTGCTGCTGTGGTGCGGAGCGCACAAACCAGACTCTTCACAACGAAGGATCACTTCTTCTTCAAGGCAGGGAAGGTTTTGCAGTACGCAGTCTACTGTCCCGCAGCTGCTGCCTCTCTGTTGGACTCCGGTACTGCACACAGTAACCACGCCGCAGTCACCCCTGTCGTGCGGGCCGGATGAGAATGTCTGGCGGGCCGGATGTGGCCCGCGGGCCGTCAGTTGGTGGTCACTGCCCTAGAGGGATAATATCCTTCTCACCTTTTTCACCCCTGACCCGTTTTCATGCCTGAGGAGGTGCTCTGATGCTGGCAACAGAAGGGTGAAGACACCTGTGTACTGCAGGAAGTGTCAGGTCCCTCTGTGCTTCACTACCAAAAAGAACTGTTACAGGGCATGGCATGACTTACTGGAGTAATACTGTAACATTCAGGGTTTGTATAAAGTTTTTTTTTTTACCCAAAAAATGCTTGTTGTATAGTGTGTTGCTAATTTTTTTAAATAAATCTGCTCCAGTTGGAGTCAAATGTTTCCTAAGTTTCCTAATTTCTATTGTGCAAGTAACATGCATCTCATGCAAAGAGGGAACTTCCCACACACTTCACCCACACACACACACCCACTTAATTATTAAAAAAAATTTACAATCATTTTTTATTTTTATGGAATGAATACCTATAGTGATGATTAAATGTTATACAATCATTTTTACAGTCTGGTACCTGAAAAAGGTTAAATGGCACTGATGGAACCAAATGTACCCAAATGTGCCCAAAGCTTAGTCCGCTTGGACTTATTTTTGCTAAATCTCTCTAAAAAGGTAAATTCTCACTTTTTTTGCCTCAATCTTGATACAGGGTACTTATTATATGTTATACTTTGGATTCCTAAAGCTTTTAGGCTACTAACCCATCATTCAAGGGTGGTTTTCACTATAAGTAATGGGTTTTAGACAAACATTTACACTTTTTGACTATGTTCCATCTGGATTTACTCTGAAACATCTTTATTGATTCTGACACTTCTACATCCAACTCACAGATGTGACCTTGCTTTGATAAAATAAATTATTCATATAACCCTTTTAGAAGTTACGTTATAGTCCTTTGTTTTGGGCATGTCATTTTCGGGCCTGAAACCTGAAAAACAGGCTTGGGGCTTAAGAGGTTAAGGGTCGAAAACGCTCCTTTGAGCTGAGGGGTCTGCAGGATTCAGCAAAGTACTCATACAGTAGGTACTCACTACTAGGTTCATCACTGCGAGGACCTTCTTTAACAAGTCCCTTGTATATGATGTCTTATTTTGCATACTGAGCTGCTCTGGCAACACATCAGCACCACATTTGAGAATGAATGCTGTAGTTTCAAAGTATCCTTCCTGTAGTAATTCTCCCCAGCTTGAACACTCTACATCTTTCAAACAAGGTGTATAGCATGCAGTTTGGATGCTACACTCTCATAAACTCCTATGCTTATGGAGTGATGTGTTGTCACTTTCAGATACATCTAAAAACAGAAAAATACATCTGTAACGTGTGGATTTGTCACTCTACAAAAAACTACATTCATGCCACTTTGTGCTCACTCCTCCTCTAATGCATTCACATGTTCAACCTTAGCCAGTAACACTGCCTTGCACATTCCTTTGTGAGATGTGTGTGTGTACATTGCTTTCATTTGGTGAGATATCTTTCCATCATGTTTGTCAGCTGTTGATACACCATAATGTTTTACTTTACGTCTTGTTTTTAGCAATGTACATCCAAATAGCTGGAATGTTCGAAAAAGGACCCCAAAGACGCAGAGGGGGATACATGCAGAAAGTAGGACAAGGTAAGAAGAAAATCCTGCTCCAGATGAGTGACATCATCCTACCCAGTGCTCACATCCAGACCAAACAGGGCTATGTGTCTGGTTTTCATTTACTTCTTTCTCCCTCCCGCTCACCCTCTCCTCTTCCCTCCTTCCTCTTTTTCTTTTTTCTCTTAAAGTGGGAGGAGGAAGAAAGAGGTGGAAGAACTCCAAAAGTTTGAACGTTTGTCCCTTCCCAGCCTTGATCTCAGCAGCACAGTTCCTCTGGTTTGCAGCCGGGAGAGTGTCTGTCTCTTTCTGTCTCTGACATTTCCTCCCTTCACTCAGGACCCTCTCTCTGCTCATCTCTTATCAGTGACCTTATCACAGCTTTGCTCAGCCTCCTTCCTCTGGGAGGTGCTGGAAAAGCCAGCAAAGGGAATTCTCCAGGAGGATAATGACCAAGAGTCCAGCTTGCAGTCATTTTATATAACTGACTTTCATTTGTCTTCAAAAAAAAATACAGTGGAGTACAGCTTCAGCTCAGGGTAAGTTTTAAATATGTGATTTGCGAGATCATTTCTCTTGCAGAACAAGGTTCCGGCTTTCCTTTTCAGAAATGCATGCTTGCTTTATTTCTGTAAGGATTGACCTTGTTTGCACTCTTTGTTGAATATAAATAGTTTATTGACCACAGCAAAGTTTCTAGTCATAACATGTAACTCATGGTTGGTGTCATGCACTGAACCTTTGGCTTATAGGTCATAAATATCAGACAGCGTGCGTTTAGCAGCATGTCTGAACCCTATACTTTAGTGGTGAGGGTGCTGCAAGGGCAAGAGGTGAGCCACAATTAGGGGGGAAGCGAGAGACCTCAGCAATGTGATGCGACGCATGTGAGTGCAGAGCGTGTGGAGTGTATACTCTTTTTCTCTTCAGAAATCTGTACATCTTTCTCTTCTTCTGAAGGTCTTGGGTTGAGGAAAGCCTAATCTACTAAAAAAAGTTTTTAAAAAGTAGTTTAAATCTTTAATGTGTTACATCTAAAGTCCTGACTGTGATCCCAGATCAGTTTTATGGGTGGTGGTGGCGAAGTCCATAGGGACTTGGCTTGGCAACTGGAAGGTCACCAGTTCAAGTCCCGGAAAGACCAAGTGCTACCGAGGTGTCCCTGAGCAAGGCACCGTTCCCTACACTGCTCCCCGGGCAGCCCACTGCTCCTAACACTAGGATGGGTCAAATGCAGAGAAACCGTTTTGTTACATGGTACCTGTACTGTGTAATGACAATAAGTTGAATCTTTCTATCTATCTATTTTAGAGATATGAGTAGTGTATGATGCGCTTTCTATTGTAGAATGCAGATGTGTGCTTGGAAGCATGGCGTAACGCAACAGACACCTGCCAAATAAGCTGTATTTTATGTGAAGAGACATTTCATTAATTATCTTTACATTTGAGCACTGTCTCATTATTGGTCCTTTCATTAAGTCTTATTAGGGAATGTTAGAGATGTCCACATCCACATGTGAGCTGTAAAGAGGAGCCGTTGGATTGTTACATGTTTCCACTGCAGCTATAGCCTAAAACCACACCCTCGCTGAAACCAGTGCAGCGGTGGAAAAGTGTGAAGAGACTGTTTTCCACAATATGGGCCAGAAGAACCATGAGGAATGTTTCTTCCATTGGACAGAATGGGTGGGGCGGGGTTGGTGGTGGGCTGCACTGTTAAACAAACCAGGTGGAGCCATCAATCTTCCCCTACAACACTGTGGGTTCACTGCATTGTGTGCATGTGGGATTTGACGCTTCCAGGTCACAGTATAATGAAATGACATTGGGATTAACTCTCATGAGCTCCCACCTTCACACAGTTTTGTGTTTGCATGTGGCCCGTTGCTGTGAGACAGAGAGGATCTTGGTAATGGTTCAAAATCCAAACTTGGAAACTTGTGTGCACTTCAGAAGTCGTTTGATTTGTTTGAAATATTTTCACATAATTTACTATCAGTGTTACGACAACGCGGCAGTTGGAAGCTAGTATCTGATATATTATTGGCAGAGCTGCACCGGGAGGATTCTTAAGAAGGATTTTTGGATATAAATCAGCATTAGTGTGTTTTATGACTACTGCACTCTCTTCAGCTCGTGTTTTTTCTCCAGAATGCAGGCAGATGTCTGGAAGGTTGGAACCTTTTTCAGAAAGGTCTTATCTCAGTGAATACTGCTTCAATGTTCTTTATTTAGCAAACAACCGCCTATAATTGCAAGAGATATACGGGATGAGTTACCATTCACACTGTGATGCATTTTGTCATTTTAGAGTGTTGATTGGTTAAGGTGATATGACCCAAGTTGGCTAACGTGTATTATAGGGAATAGGTTTTGGAAATGAGTTCAAGAACAGGACATGAAATCCTTGAGCTGGACCTGCAGGATTACAGTGTCTTGGCCCTGGGGCTAGAACACACATCTGCTAGGTGTCACACGGACTAATGCACTCCAGCTGTGTGGGACTGCCCACAGCGCCCCCCCCCCCTCTTTAACTTAGTCATTGATCCTCCTCTCATCTGTGCCACACATGTCACGTCACATCGGCAGTTGAAGCGTGGATTGGGTGTGCAGGCCCCCCCGGCCTATGGTTTGAGCCCCATGTGACTTACTTCAATGATTTCTCGACTTAACATTTGTTAAAGTTTGCAAAGAGATGTCATGCATAATAAAAACATGTATTTGGAATTGATTTATACATAATGGCCTATATAGCAGTTGTTGACATTATAATCGATATGTACAAGATTTCAGTCTGTAATAAAGTAGCTGCTGAAGTTGAGCCAATTAGACAGTATTACTGAGCAGAGCGCAATGTGTGATTTCACATTAGGCTTTTATGAAACAAATTCCAATTGCTTGATGTAAACTGTGCATTACAGTCATTTGCATGAGTAAGCTTGATTTGTAACATCATTCATAAATAATATCACAATAGAATCAGGCAGAATGTGTCAAGACATTCACTGCACGGTTTAGAAATCACACCATCTCCGGTGTCAGGACCAAGCAGACACAGGAGATGTTTAAAGAAACTGGATTTTTTTATTTACTCAAAACATTTAAAAAAACATTATAAACCAATACTTTTAATAACTAGACCAATAGAAGAGGTCAACAGAAAATAAATAAATGAACAAACTAACCTCCCATAATCATGCAAAAGGGGACATTTAAAGTGACTTAGCTAAACCTAATAGAAAACAAGGGGTAATTAGTATCAGAATACAAATAGACACTGACAAAACCCATTTTATATTTCTGCAAATGTGTACACCTGAATGCTACACGCTGGTCATTTAAGCCAATGGCAGCACCACATTGTGCACATGGACATGTTAGGTGACTGAGCCACGCCTCATTTCCTATCCGAGCAGGTCTGCTCGCTGTAACTGCTGAAACACACACATAATGACATGGTATCTGTCCTGGATGCTGATGGAATGTTGTGCTGTGAGCTAGTGTGAGTGTGTTTATGTATACGCATGTTTATGAGTGTGTGTGTGTGTGTGTGTGTGTGTGTGTGTGTTTGTGTGTACTGTATGTATGTGTGGTCTTTGCTATAAATGAGTGTGTGAGGTCCAGCTGCACACTGCTGTGCTCACGCAGAGTCTGTCTTGCAAACTGACAGCTGTAACTGTAAATAAAACCACTGAAGATGTTGTGTTATATGTATACAGAGTAATATGGTGTCCTTACTGTATAACATTCACTGCTCACTACTTAAACACATGTCACTTTGGGTGGTGAATGGATTACACAAAAATATTCAATGATGACTCAGCATAAAAAGGCACACATTTAGAAAAGACTAGTACAGTACTTGTTACTACTGTCAGTTTCATTCTTTTTAGGGCTGTCAGTCGATTACAATAGTTAATCGCGATTAATCGCAAATTAATCGCACATTTTTTACCTTAGAGGAATATTTTTCAAGTTTTTAATACTCTTATCAACATATTAGTGGACAAATATGCTTTATGCTAATGTTTATTATCATTTGAACAATGACAAATATTCTCATGAATATTAAACACAACAACCTCTGAACATTACAAATATTTGCCTCAATTCAACCTGGAACCTCTCTCATTCATTAATACAATACAAGTGTGTGTGTGTGTGTGTGTGTGTGTGTGTGTGTGTGTGTGTGTGTGTGTCGTTGGCGCTATGTGCAACTCAAGGCATATGCTCGAACGGGAGCTGCCTGGACGCTGCAATCATGTTGCGCACTATCCGTGCTGAGTGTGCTGACTTTTCGTACAATGTCCCACTGTCTGGCTTCCTGCATAAAGTCAAGTGCTCGGCGCAGTTGTGGCGAAATGTCGCTCCTCTATTTTCATTTAAACAGCTCCTTCTATCCATTAGCGCAGCTAGCTAGCACCAGATGCTAACAACAACAATGCATGTAAGGTCTCTCTCTCGCTCACTCGTGCCACACATACACACACCCTCCCGGTCTTCCCAATAGCCAGTCGGTGCCTGCCGGTGAGCGTGGAAGTGTGGTCTGCCACAAGCGGGCTGCAGGAGCGGGGCTGTCAGCATCAGCTTGTAGATGGTATTTTAAACTCGATGCTCTCTGAAACTACGGGGCGGCCGAGGAAAAAAAATACATATGCGTTAATCGCGTTAAAATAATTAGTGGCGTTAATTTTTTTTCGCGTTAACGTTAACTTGACAGCCCTAATTCTTTTACAAACAAAAACTTTACCTAATAATTTCAAAGATATGGATTCAAGTTTGGAAGGATGGCAGTTCGGATTCGGTGCATAACAACATACAAAGCCGGCTCCTACCCCCCAGCGAGGAAAGATAACCTCAGATTTCCTCTCATCTTGGAATGAGTGTTGTCCACATTTGGTGCACATTTTGGTAGCTTCCTCTTGGATGCTTGCTTACGGTCTGGCACCTGGTGACCATGTTTTTATAGAGGTTGTGGCCTAGAAACGTCTCTAACACAGCAACATTAGTAATCCAAGTACACACTTCTGGTGATTGAGAGGGATTGTTTTTGTATGAGTCTATCCATTTATTTGTTTGGATAATCTACCTCACTCTGCCTTTCAGATCAAATTACTTTAGTGTTTTTTTGTACAACGTGTGAGTTCGCTCACACATGTTGTTTATTAATAATGGAATAATGAACTATTTCCATTTACCGCTACATTATTCTTCTACTCCACTACATTTCAGCTGTGTATTTCGTACTATTTATTCTACTACATTTATTTGAATACTCACAGTTACTAGTTACTTTGTACACATAATAACACATATACTGTATGCTGATATGATATAATGCCATACTGTACTACTGACCTACACAGTATGTACATTATCTTAAACTACTACACTGAAAGGCTCTTACCAAAACAGAATGATATAATAACCATGATAATATAATACTGTGAAAAGACACTTTCAGCATAACGAGTATTTTCATTATTCATACCTGAAAAATACTTCAGTACTTTATATTATTCTGAAACGGGTCATTGTGTACTGTAGAATGAGTAGTTTAACTTTTTGTACTTTAGGTATATTTTGATGATATATTTTTTTTAACTTATACTGAAGAAGAATTTTAAAATCACGACGTTTGCTTAGTGGAATATTTTAAGACCATAGCATTTGTAAAATATCTGAGTACTTCTTCCAACACTGGTGAAGACGTCTGATAAATCACAAACAGCTGACACAGCTTACTAGCTGGTGAACATAGAAGAGCCTTTAGCAGCTAAAGAGACAGATGTTCAGGAGTTGGTGAAGATAAAAAAGGATGCCATACACATATGAAGGCTAATATTGCTGTTCGGTAACATTTTGCCATAAGAACTTTAAAGTCCCAAATGGTAATAAGTGATTGTGTCACCTATGTGTAAGTTCCATGCTGTCATTGTGTTAGCTGCTGGTATCAGAGAGAACAGGACTCCTCTGTGCTGCTGTATTTTCCTCTGGGGTGCTGAGGGGAAGCCTTGGTGTTGACACTCTGGCCAGGCCTGGCACTCTCTGCAGTGGCTTTTGAGTGACCTGAAATCACATGACCATGAGTGGAGAACACAAACATCTGCTGCAGTGTCCTAGAGAGCTTACATTTCCTTGAAATAAAGGAACTTTTGAAGGTCTTCTGTCTGGATAGTGACAGCAATGGGGGACTGAAGGGATATATCTGCAGCTTTTTTACACTTCAATATTCTCCAAGCACTTAACGTGTTTGTCTTATGTGGAATCCTCACAATCTTCTCAGGCTTTTAGAATGACCCTACCCATTTCCCTTTGGAAAAACATTTATATGTGATGCAAAACTCTGCAGTTTTCTACACATGTTTGAAGTACAGTAACTTCCCTCAGCGTTTTTCTGAATGGCCAACATTCCTAAAGCTGTTTGCAAAGTTGTATTTAGTCGGTGCTTTTGGATGAGACTGTCTATAAAGTAAGCATGCATGTTATTGTTTGGTTCCTCCCAGTTTGGAGTTGATTTGGCATCTTCAAAGTGCTGTGTGCATAAACAGCAGACGCAGCAAGTGTAAAGACAGCGACTCCAACAAACTCAACGTCTGCTTTGTTGCATTAAATATGACAGACATGTGTTTATAATTTATTACTGCTGTGGATTGCTTGGAATCAAGCCTAGCTGACCTAGGTTTTCTTATCCCCTTGAAAGGGTCTCTTTGACTCCACAGCAAAAAGTATTTTAATTTCAATTGGATTGAAGTGTGCATTTGGCACGATACATAATCCACAGGAGACAGGGACATTTTCACAACTGAGAGTTCATGATATTGGTATGCATTGTTGGCCCAGATAAAGAATCAGACACAAGGCAAAGTAAGAATGATCAGTTTAGCATGATTCCTCTCTCTTAGTTTATGTTTTAAATTGCTGCAGTGATTAGCCAAATGCGCAGTAGCTAACTGTGTGCCGGACTTCATTTTGTTGTGTTTATATTACTGGCAAAGTTTCTCCTGGTATTCTCTGGGGCAATGTTGGAGGAAACTTACAGTTTAGGAAAACAGTGTTCCAGATCCCTGGACCTGCAGGATACATCTGGGTGGGGGGGTACCCTTGAGCATTCTTGATCATGTGTGTGTTGTTTATACTCTAACAGCAACACAGAGTCTGCCTACAGCTTGTCATAAGAGGTTAAAACTCACCATAGACAGCATTTTTTTTTATTATTATTGCTGGGTTTCATCAGAGAAAGCACAAATTACAAGGGATATAATTGAAAAAAAAGAAATCATCCTACTTTCCTCTCCGAAGTTTTCTCTTCTCACAACATTGCTTTACTGTAGCTTTGTGGGTTAGTCATATTCCATGAAATAAGCTCATGATTCAAGATAGAAGAAAACATGTGTGTACCTGCAATTTCCACTGGAGGGCATTTCCCCCTGTGTTGTCACAGTTGAGCCGCCATGACACCATCTTCTTTCATTATACATACAGTTTTAATGCCAATAAAGTAGAGGTATAGTAAACTACCTAAATTCCCCTTTTTTTACTGTGCACTCATTAGTGCTGAGGCTACACTGTGTGACCTCCCGCAGGCACGCTACCTGTTAAAGCCTCGACACACCAAACTGACACCAACGAACACCAAAGAACACGTCCCCACGGAACGTCGCCTCACGTCTCTGCGTCTTGGCCATGTGTCGCACTGGAACACACCGCGAAGACTGCAGCCGACGGCCAAGTTGCACGTACGAACTGCGCATGTGTGAGTGGCAATAACTCTCCTTACCAGCAGGCGGCGGTAGTGTGTATTCGTCATTCAAAAGAGGCAACAACCGGAAGACAGACTGCGTTTGCCTTCTTAATAGTTTGTTTGGGTCCCTCACTTCCGTTTAGCTTCTCATGCACGCTAAGTATTCGCTAAGCTGAACAGCCAATCAGAGTGATTTCTTTGGCCGACGGCGGAAGGTGTCGGCACAACGGTACACATGATGCATGATGGTGCACGGCGGTGCAGTACACACCAATCTGAGTAGGGCGACACAACGCTTATCGTCGATGAGCGCCTTGTCGCCCTACTCAGAAGAAGCGAATCGGAAGTGAGGGACCCAAACAAACTATTAAGAAGGCAAATCTGAGATTTCATTTAACTCCAGCTCTCTACACAGGTTCGGGAAAGCCCCGTGAGCTTCTCGCTGTAGAGTGAAAATGGAACGCACACGCTATTTGTTGTTTGTTTATATCACGCAGTCTGTTCTTCTTCTCTGTCTTCCGGTTGTTGCCTCTTTTGAATGACGAATACACACTACTGCTGGTAAGGAGAGGTATTGTCACTCACACATGCGCAGTTGGTACGTGCTACTTGGCTGTCGGCTGAAGTCTTTGCGGTGTGTTCCAGTGCGACACATGGCCAAGAGGCAGAGACGCGAGGCGACGTTCCGTCGGGACGTGTTCTTTGGTGTTCTTTGGTGTCAGTTTGGTGTGTAGAGGCTTTAAGAGGCTGTAGAGAGGCTCCTCTGGGACGCTGAGGGCTGCTTACCTCCCTAACCCTAACCCCCCTCCCCCCTTTTATGTTATATATCATTCTTAACATGCTTGGGTGTAAATCTTTCCAAATGTCAGAGAGAAGGGGTGAGTCAACCACTCACTTTGTGTTTGGGTTCATTTAAGTGGCTTTTGGTATTCTGAGATCAGCGTTTTGCAGTTTCAAGTTTACTTCAGTGTAATTAAAATGTAATTTCTCTGGCTGCTCTTGGGGCCACGACACACATTATCACCTCAGGGTGGTGGGAAATGTAATAGGTGTGTATGTGTATCTGTGTCCTCTTGACTTTCTATCTTTGTGAGGACCAGCATGAGGTGTTGACCTAGTAATGGAGGAAGTATATCCTTACTTCTAAAATGGCTGTTTGTGGCAAGGGTATTGATTAGGGTTAGGGTTAGAGTGATCGTGTTAACTTGGGGAAAGTTCAGAAAGTCAGAGTCTTTAAGTACATAGTGTCAAAATGTGAATCACCATATCTATCAAGATCGGATTTTATAACTAGGAAATGATGAGTGAGTGTGTGTGTGTGTGTGTGTGTGTGTTTGTTTTTTAAAGCAGATGTCTGATGAGGTCTTTTTTGTTTGCAACTTGAAATGGAAGGTTACATAAAATGGAATCCTATTTGGGTAAGAAATAGATTAGATGTTTGAAATATTCATGGCTAAATAATTATGTACAAAAAACTGAAACATTTCTCTATCTCCTCTCAACGTCACACACATGCACAGGTATGCATACTTTCTCGGTAGCGATCCATTTGGGACCTTCCCTTCATTTCCTGTGACAATGCTTAACATCACAATGAGGGGAAATCTGAGTGAAAAGCAAACACACACCCCGGCTGTAAAACTGGACTTTCCAGACCAACACCCCTCTTAAAAACAGTTTACTTTGTGAGTTGGAAAATCAAGTCTTTTCCAAGCAAAGTTAATAACTAAAGCACATTGGCTGGTAGCTTTAACAGGTGTTTTGTTATCACCACAGCTTTCTGATAGGCCATCACATTCTTCAGCTCCCTCACTTACAAACCAAAACCAAAAAGCGCACTTTATACCATGTTTTCAAACGTTAGTAGAATGGACATGCTTGCTTGTTAAAGTGAAAAAAGCTTATCACAGTGTGACTCACTAAGGGCATGGTAACACTAGCTACAGTAAGATGAAGAGATCTCATAGTCTTGCAAATACCGACAGGAGATGTGTGGTGTGTCAAGATTAGATGTTGCACTCCAGGCCAAAAATTTTACTTAATGTTGTGTTTTTTTTTTTTCGAGAAGCAGTGTATCGAAAAGCACAACTGTTGTAGTAGCATATCCCTATCCCAAAGCCGTGACACCAAACCACTCCAGAAGTATGTGAAAGTATGAAAAAGGGAAGCTTAGTTTTTATGACGGATTTGTTTGAAACAAACCTATGGATATATGCGTTGTAATATGCTTACAGCCCTGTACAGTTATAGTTATAAGCACTAATTAATACCGATATTGCTATATAAAAAAAATCAACACATCATAAAGCATTTGAAAAAAAAAGGTCGGATATCCTAATGCTTCATAATTACTTGTCACTCACTGAGGATCAAAGTGTACTATCATTCCCATAGTTGTAACTCAATATACAATTTCACAACGCCACAAAACACTTTATAATCATTTAAGATATGCAGCATACTATTACAAAGTATTATAAGTAGTCTTTTCTCATAATGTGCTTGCAACGAAAATGTCGGTTAGCCAGAAATAATTATGAGACCATAACACAATTTAAAAAAGTAATCTTTTGTTTTAAAGCATTCTGAATAAGTATGATTGCTTCTAACTAATCATACGGTGCTAAAAGCAGTTTAAGTTCATAATGCTTAATAAACGTGGGATGAAAAAAATCAGTGAAAATAATATTATAATAATAATTTACAAAAGCAGACTAATTTAAAGTGGGAAGTTTTTGTGGCTATTGTTTAAGATTAATATCATGTTTGCTTCTGATTTCCCAGGCGTCCCCTTTGCTGTTTAGGTGCTAGAAGATGAGGGGGCATCAGGTGGTCCCGCTCTGTGTCCTCCTGGGCGTCCTGTTTGCAGGACTCCTCCCCAACCTTGAGGCTCAGGAAGGTAAGTCCATGTAAATCATCTCAGCCGCAGTCAGATCATCTGTCTGCTTGGTCATTGTCATGTTTGCTCATCTAAAATTAAATGATCTGCACCAGTTCATATATTCCGAAATGAATTGCTTCAGAAAAACCCATGAATGTTGTTAACAACACTTTTTTAATGAGCGTTGTTTTCTAAATATTGATCATTGTGAGAATTAAATACATTTGAATTCAAAATGTGTTTCCCAATATTGTACAACATTTAGAGGCCTCATGGGTGTTAGAATTCCAGTCAGATGTCCTTGATAAACAAAGCAGAATGATGCTGTCAGGCCCGGACCGGCTTCGGCCTGGATTATCTGATCCGCACACAGTTCACCAGCGCTTCTGGCAGCCGCGCAGCCGATGGTGCGGCCCAGGTGGTGGTGGTGTTGACAGACGGCCTGTCCCAGGATTACGTAGTGGAGCCGGCCCAGGTGCTGCGGCTGGCTGGCGTGGAGGTGTTGGCGGTTGGAGTTCAGGATGCGGTTGACTCAGGGATATGGGGAGCCAGCCCCACAACACTCATGTATTCAGTGTAGACACTTTTATGACTTTACGAAATATAATTCAAGATTTAGTAGTAGGGCTTTGCGACGCAGTGACACGCTCGGGGGGGGGGGGGGGGGGGGGGGGGGGGGTCCTGTGGCAAACGAGGGCCCCCTTGGCTGGAGGAGGGACAGGTAATGAAATGGGACCAGTGTCACTACCATTACTAATATGTCTACATGTGCAGGACGAAGCTGCTGCATATGTGGCCGTGACTGGATTTGATTATTAACACAATCAATATGTTTAACCACAATAACCTTTCACCATCCGACTGCGGAATTAACAACACTTGTTTTGTCTTATCACACTTAATATGTCCCTAATGCTTTAAGAATCACAATAAGAACCGCATGTGATTGATATTCCTACAGCATCTTCAATTGGAGTGTAAACTGATACATATGCCTGTGCAAAGACATAATGAGCATGGCTTGAGAAAAACATATATAAGCAAAGGGAAACATCTTTCCAGGTGCTTTAAAACCTGGTATATATTTATGTTATATGTTATGTGTTGGCATCAAACACCTTTTTTAAGATAAAGCCTTTTTTGTATTCAACACAGTTTTGGGTTAAGGGACACAATACAGAGAGTAGGAAATACAATTGTTAAATTTAAATACTGACACCTCGGACTTTTTGCTGCCCAGAAAAACCATTGAAGAAAATTGACTCCAGGATGACATCACATCTCAAAATCAACCAATGAGCTTTTAACAATAGCTAACCATGCACTACTGCTTATGTGTCCTGCCTTATGTTTGTTTTTATCAGTCACAATGACTATCTGTGTAACATATGTTCATGTTGTGTATTTTAAACAGAGATGAACCTGCTCGGACTCATCCTTGACCTACAGAAGTACTTTGAGAATATGTGTTAGGTAGAAATGATACGTAACAATAAATAACCATACTGACAATCATACATGATTCCTAATAAAATCAATTGAAAACATCTCTTATATACAAATGTATACTAATTTACATTAAATCATGTACAATATTCTCAAGTACTGTAAACTTGTAGGCACCAAGGATATGCCACAGGGTCATGACTGGTCACTTTATCTGAGGTCCATAACAAGAGTCTGCATGGGATGGCTGAACACAATGGAGATAATAGAAGGGACACATCACACAGAATATCCTCCTCCTTTAGACATGAGGTTGTAATACTACCCTTCGATTCTTAATTTATTTTGTTCTGACTTCCAAAAAATGTCTGACCATTTATAGATGTTTTGGTTCTTGTCCTTTTGCAATTTTTTATAATCAAAAATGATCATAAAAGTTACATTTAATCAGTAATTTAACAATCCTACATATTTTTTTATTTCTCAATCTAGATTATTTTGTAGTTGCCCGGTGTTGGAGTTATCAGCCATATTAAATACTATTCTCTAAAATAATTGAACTAGATGGCATTTGGCCGTTGCTCAAAGTGCCAATAAAAGACTGACCAGCAAGGCTTCTTTTCCATAAGTCAGGAATCATGACCTGGGTACAGAATAAAACCACCAGAACTTTAAAATTAAAATCTACCAACCTAAAACTGCTTACAACAAGTTCTGGGGATTACATTGAGTAACGGTCAAACGATATTGGTGATGAGTTTATCATGTGTTTTTGGACAATTTGAGCTTCATCAGCAACGGACCATTTAGTTGTACTTTATTGAAGGAAATCAGATGTCTCTTAAACTGTAATTGCTGCTGATTTTCTATAAAAAATAAGTTTTTAGCCACATACAGAATGTGAAGAATTAAATAAATTCATCATATACCACTGGTTTGATAATGACAAAGTAACGGGGGGGGGGGGGGGTCTCCTTGGTTCAGCCTACATGCAGTATGATGTTTTTGCAATGTTTGATTGATTTGTTCACTCTAAATGTTACTTGACAAATGCTAGCAACACTTCTTTGTTGGATTCTTTGTCCCTGTCTCACCATGTTAACACCTTCACAAGTTCCATTTTGTTTTGTGTTCTCTCTCTCTCCTTAAAGCACAAGATTCAGCTGACCTAATACTCTTAATTGATGGATCAGAGAACGTTGGAGCGGCAAACTTCCCCTATGTGCGTGATTTGGCTTTGAGAATCATTGAGCGCCTTGATGTGGGCAGGGACACTATTCGGGTTGCTTTGGTCCTGTACAGCGTCGACCCAGATATAAGTTCTATCTAAATAGTTTATGACAGCAAGTATCAGTCGTGGAAGCGGTTGAAGGGCCTTGCCTACTCAGGGGGGGTGATGAGTCTAACTTGGGGGCCGCCCTGGAGGAAGTGGCCGGAGAGCCTTTTGAAGCCAATCAGCTGGGGGCAGGGCAGACGAGAGTGTTGCCCCAGATGTTGATAGTTATCAGTGCTGGGCCATCCACAGATGATATGGTGCCGGGGACCGGGCCCTTAAGAGGGCCGGTGTATCACATTCGGCGCTTCGGTTGGGGACACGCTTCTGCTGATCTGGAAACAGTTGGCTACAGATAAGATTTTGTCCTGTCAGCCCCTGATTTCAGAGCAGTGGCCAGCATGGGTGACCAGCTGCTCCCGTACGTTAACGGGGTGGTCCAGCGCACCATTATAGTTCAGAATTGAGTTCACAGAAGGTATGTAACTTCTCTGTAAATGTTGGCGAGGCATTGGGGTTTTGGAAGGGTACAAAATACAAAAAACCGTGTCGAGTTCACAATAAATGTAATACAAAGTGCAAGGTAAGATATACATAGATGGTAAAACACATTCAAAGTAATACATTGAAGCTTATCTAAATGTTCTGTCTTCAAAATGTCACTAAGCCTACAGCAAATGTCTAGATCCACCAAAGTTAATTTAACCAATTGCTAAAGACAACCAAGACAATGTTTAAAAAATAAAACTGGATGGACTTTAAGAATAGGTTTTGACATTACACTAGCCACTAAAATATATTATTCGATAGAGCTATAACAGTTTGAAGTTATACGTTTCTGCAATAAAAAGGGATTCATTAAGTAAATAATGATGTGTGCAAAATGCTTCCTGCTTAATACCGTTTTTGTTGATTTACAATAACAAAGAGACATTTTCCAGCAATATGACAATGGTGAGAAAAAACACGTTCAAGTAAATCTCCCATGTATATTAGGCTTTGTAAAATTGTGTGGACAGTCTAAACGACAAAGACATCAAAATCGGCTATCACCAATTATATATGTATGTTTTAATTTAATTTAATTAATTAATCCATAATAAGACTTAAAACCACCTTTTGTATTCTAAGCTTGATTTATGCTTTCCTATAAACACATCTTGTCCATCGGCATTGGTCAAAACATCAAATAAAAAAACGCTCTTGTTTGATTTTGATTTCAAATCTTAATTCATATTTATGAAAATACACAGCTTTTTTTCTTCTTCTCAATGTTAGTTAACAGACTATACTTGTTAGGCTTTTATTATAAAATATGTATTATTTATAACGTGTTGGGAATGCACCAGTATTCTCTTATTAATGTATTTTCTTTTCTTTTCAGTTTTGGCAGTTGGAAAAAGAGACATCATTTTCCTAATCGATAGTACAATGGGTGCAACGATCATCAATTCTGTGCGTGAATTCATCAAGCGGTTTGTGGAAATCATGCCGATTGGCCAAGACCAAGTTCAAGTGGGTGTGGCCCAGTTCGGTAATGCCCCTCGAACTTGAGATAGATCTCAACTCCTATGGATCCAGGGAGGAATTAACTGCGGCTTTGAGCTCTATCAAACCAAGACCTGGACAGACCGTTAACATTGGAGCAGCCTTGGACTTTGTGCGGACAAATATGCTGCGGCCTGAGAAGGGCAGTCGTATGAACCAGGGGATACCCCAGGTTTTATGCTGATGACCAGTAAAAAGTCCAGTGACAGTGTGGAAAGCACCAGCTTTAGCCCTGCAGAGACTGGGCGTGTTGACTCTAGCTGCAGGCTCCAAAACGGCAGAGGTGCCGGAGCTTGCAGCAGATAGCCTTTTGCTGACAGCGTTGCATTCTATATGAGGGACTTCCGGCAATTGATTCGCAACCCAAAGGCCATAGTTGATGCGCTCTCCACTCTAGCTGGGTGGTGGTGACTGAACAACCCACAGAGCCAGGTACGTTTTTAATATAATATAATGAACAAAATAAGTACATTTGAAATATAACAATTGACATATTAAAGTATAACCTTGAATAGATAGGGACACAATGAATGCAGATGCTTTGAACGTTAAAAGTGTGCGGCATGATAAAGTAGTTCCATTTAAATCTACTTGCCTTTGGTTGTGTGACATTTTAGAATGTTATGTTCGACAACAATTCAGCCGCGATCAGAAAACCTAAAAAAGTAAAACAATTGTTCCATGAAACATGAGAATTAATTAAATGTAAGCAATTTTAAGGCCATATTTTGAAGAGAACAAGGAGGAAATGTTGGCTTCAGATGTAAGGAAGCTTAAAATCCTTCCATGAGTGTACCACTTTGATGGGCATATTCATAAAGAATGGATTCTGACCATTAATAGCTCTGAGAATTGTGCAAAATGTGTTGAAAGTTGAAATGCCGAACACAATTTGAGTAAATAATGTTAATGTAACTAAGTGATGACTTGCACCATGTTTTACATGATCAAAACAAGTTAATACTTACACATAAATCAACTTCAGCAGAGAATCAACTTTATTACATAAAGAAATAAGTAGTGTTTTAAAAAAAAAAGATAACTGTACCTGTAAGCAATACGGATGACATAGTTTGATACCTTTTTTTAGTACTTCATTTGATACTGATCTTGTTATGGAAGCATTCAGTTGCCTAAAATGCCACCATCACTCCTCCCCTTTCAAATGATTTTAAAGCAAATGCGTTTTGAAAATATAAAAATTGTTAAAATAGTTGTTGACCTTGTACACGATTGATTGAGATACTGAATATAAATCACAAGTGACCGCATACTGTGTGTGAGCAGAATATTGGTTGGGCGAAAGAGAGAGGAGTGGATGGGCGAGAGCAAACACCTTTTGGTAAAACATAGTTTAGGGGAAAAACGTATGGTCTGTGGAGTACGGCTAGCCTTGTGTACGCAAACAATAAGCAGAATGAAAATATAAAGGTGTTACGGATTGCTTGTAATCTACATTTGAGTACTGGTCTTAATTATTAGTGCTTCACTAATTGTTTTACATCTTCAAAAGCCCTGAAAGTATGTAAGTGGGTATCACAAAGAGGATAATTTGTTTTGTTTTTGTGCTTTTCTTAGTGGTGGAGATAACAACAGTGCACACTCAAATAGCTGGTCAGAGACCATTGTCTTCCTTGTGGATGGTCTCAACCTACATTGGCAGCAGTAACTTTCCTTTCATGAGAGACTTCATTATCAACGTGGTCAACCAGCTGGAGTAGGTCATGAAAGAGGTCCAGATTGGTCCTCCTGCAGTTTGCTGACCATCCAAAAATTGAATTTTTACTCTGAACAGTCACAGCAACAGGCAAGATGTTGCTGGATAAAATCTCTCAACTCAGTCTCTCCGGAGGCTCAGTTCTGAATACAGGAGCTGCTATGGAATTATGCCCTTGACAACATGTTCAGGGTATCAACTGGCTTCACGCAGGAGGCAGGGAGTCCAGCAGGTGTTGGTTCTGATCACCGGTGGGTCCAGCCCAGGATCAGGTCAAATCTGTAGCCGATAAATTGGCTTTGGCTGGTGTTTTGACCTTCACAGTCAGCTCTGGGCAAGCAGATGAAGCGCTAATGAGGAATGTTGCCTTTGTTCCAGATTTGGCTTACCATGAAACAGCTTCTCTAGTTTACCAGCTCTAGCTGAATCATCATGTCAAAGTTGATAACAGTGGTTGGCGATACAGATACAGTGACATCCGTATTCCCTGATGAACCTGGTGAGTTTTTAATCTTTCTGTTGATATTAATGATTAAATGTGACATACATAAAGAGTTGATTGATTTTTTTCTTCCCTCAGTCTGCTGGAGGGGAAAGGGATGTTGCCTTTCTCATTGATGGCACAGAAAGTGGTTCGTGGAGATTTTGAATACATCAGGGATTTTATCATTAAAGTCATTGAACCACTTGACATTGGGATTGACAAAGTGCGAGTGTCAGTGGTTTCAACACAGTGAGAGGCCAACACCAACGTTATACCTTAACACAGTATCAAACCAAAGATGAGGGTAATAAAAGCTGTCAATGGAATGACTCTGACTGGTGGGACGAACCTTTAAAACACAGGAACTGCTTTAGATTCATGAAAGATACCATCTTGTCTGAAAGGCATGGTAGCCGTTCCTTACAAAATGTCCCACAGTTTCTCATCGTTTTGACTGGAGGCAGATCTAGGGACAATGTGAAGGATCCTGCAGGAGCGCTGAAAACAGACGGGGTCGTACCATTTGGTGTTGGTGTCAGAGATGCAGACCCGAGGCAGATTGCGGCCATTTCGCACAACCCTTCCTTTGCCTTCAATTTGAGGGAATTCAGTGAGCTTAGCACTGTACCACAAAAGCTCAACAACTACGTGAGCCTTCCAAGGGAAGAGCTGACCCTGGTTCTACAGCAAGGTAAGCTAAATGTTTTTCTGAGTTATTCTGTATGCAACATCTTCTGTATGAAAAATGTATCTTCCACTGATGTTTTATCAGGATAACTAAATATTATTTGTTGTGTCTTAGTACAAAGCAATGCTGCAAAAAGAGATATTGTGTTCCTACTGGATGGCTCTGATAACACAAGAAATGGATTCCCAGAGATAAAGCTCTTTGTTAAGAGCATAGTGGAGAGCCTCTCTGTCAGTGAGAGCCATGACAGAGTGTCTGTGGTTCAGTTCGCTGCTAACCCTGATGTCAACTTTTATCTGAATTCTCACAAGACAAAGAATGACATGCTAAATGCTATAGATAAGTTAAGACACAAGGGTGGGAGACGCCTGAATATAGGGGGAGCTCTCCAGTTTGTGAGGCACAGTGTCTTCACTTCTTCCACGGGAAGTAGAAGACTAGAAGGAGTGCCCCAGATTTTGATTGTTCTAATTGCAAAACCATCCAGTGATAATGTGAGAAGCTCAGCATATGCCCTTAAAGAGCATGACATTGTGTCAGTGGGGGTTGGAGTGGGAGATGCAAATCTTTCTGAGTTGGAAATGATTGCCTACAAACCTGGTTTCATATACAAAGTCACGGATTTCTCTGAGTTGCCCTCAGCACAATCACAACTTGCTGCTATACTGAACATAACCAAAGAGACTGGGGAAACCATGACTGGAATCTCTGATTTATTAGGTAAGAATTCCATGTTTAATTACATGCCTACATTTGGAGTACGATATAATGTTCTTTGTCTTCAGAATAACATGATGTACTCTCTCTAATACTCCTTAATATCTATCATTAATATTTAAATTAAATTGTTAGTCAAATTACTCATTTAAAGATGATGAACGACTACAAATGTTTTGGCACATTTCTGACAAGTTTCTGACATTTTATGAAAAAGCAAATTTCTCAGGCTTTTCTAGAATGTGAAACTCTTTCAAATGTCTTTCCTTCTGGGCTCAGTTTATTCCTCTGAGCTTCTTTCTTGCTGATGAATCTACTTGAGGCTAAGAAAATCTTGATCGTCAATCGATGAATCCTTTTTCTTTCTATCCATGTATCACCTTGTTGACACAGGCAGCAATAAGAGGGACTTAGTGTTTCTCCTTGATGGGTCAGATGAGTCCAGAAATGGCCTACCAGCTATTCGTGAGTTCATCAGAAGAATGATGGAAGACCTGGATATTGCTGAAGATAAGATTCGGGTGTCGGTCGTACAGTATAGTAATGACAACACAGTTTACTTCAACCTTAAAACTCACAGATCAAAAAAAGCAATAATCCACGCTGTCAGAAGTCTCCGGCATAAAGGAGGAAGACCTCGGAACACTGGAAATGCTCTACAGTTTGTGCGAGACCATGTATTTACACCTTCATCTGGGAGCAGACGCCTGGAGGGAGTCCCTCAGATTCTATTTTTACTGACCGGTGGCAAGTCCAATGACGATGTCTCACAAGCGGCATTAGACCTAAAACAAATCGGTGTTCTGTCTTTCGCCATTGGAATGAAAAACACTAAGCTGGAGGAGCTTCAAAGAATTGCCTTCTCCTCCAGATTTCTTTTCAACCTTCCTGTCTTTGGCGAACTTTTGTCTATTCAGCCGGAGATTTCTGCATTTGTCAAGGCTGAAATACAAATTGAGCACCCCACTGTTATAGGTAAGACGTGTCCCATATTTGCATTTGAGAGTTGTAGCGACCTTCCCCTGGTTTAGTGCACTTTATTTTCCATAGTTTGAATTGCAATGAAACTGCATCACCTTCTGAAGAATGTCAGCTGATCAGTTTCATGTTTCTCAAACATTTTTCACTGGATTTCACTGGCGAGTCAACTTCCTTGAAGTACTGTTTCTTGATTGGCTCTCGTCATTTTTCCCTTCAAGTCTTTTCTTGACAGCCAATCAGAACATCTCCCTTCTTTCTATTCTTAAGCTCTACCTTGAGCCAATGATATCACATCATTGACCAACTAATTTAGAGCTAGAGAATATTTAAATCTTTCTTTTAAACTTTTACTTCTTTCATTTCTGAAAGAGGAATATGATTCTTCTTATCTTGTAGTTAGTTTCAAATATCTGAATACATTCTTCATCTACCATTTGTATACATTTTTATTAGATCTAACACCTTGCTTATCATAGTAAATACCAGCTGTTATGACCTCTCAAACTATCTAATGTGTAATTATTGCACCATAATATACTGTAGCTTGTGCAGTACATGTTTAATTGTTAAACAAGGTTTTCCAATTTTTTTCTAGTTGAATTAGAGTCCCCTCAAAGAGACATAGTGTTTCTAATTGATGGGTCGGATGACACAAGGAATGGCTTCCCAGCTATGAAAAGCTTTGTCCAACAAGTGGTAGAAACACTCAGTGTTGGTGAGAACAAAGACCGTGTGTCTGTGGTCCAGTATAGCAGGGATCCACAGACACATTTCAGTTTGAACACCTACAATGAAAAACAAAATGTCCTTGCTGCAGTCCAGCAGTTGAACCACAAAGGAGGCAGACCCCTTAACACTGGGGCGGCTCTCGACTACGTGAGGAAAAATGCTTTTGCTGATTCTTCTGGAAGTCGGCATCAGGACGGTGTCCCTCAAATATTGATTTTGTTGAGTGGGGGAAGATCTCAAGATGATGTTGCAATTGCTGCTGTGGCTCTAAAACAGGACAAAGTTGTTGCATTCTGTGTAGGAACAAGAACTTCAGACATAATCGAGCTCCAAATGATTGCACATAACCCTTCCTATGCCTTCTCTGTGCTCGGGTTTGATGATATTGGGAGCATCTATCAACAACTTGCCTCATTTGTGAAAAGAGTGCCTCGACAGCAGTCACGGCTAAAACCACAAAATGCATTAGGTAAGGCTTAACATCTATCTATCTATCTATCTATCTATCTATCTATCTATCTATCTATCTATCTATCTATCTATCTATCTATCTATCTATCTATCTATCTATCTATCTATCTATCTATCTATCTATCTATCTATCTATCTATCTATCTATCTATCTATCTATCATCTATCTATCTATCATCTATCCATCTATCTATCTATCTATGATAATACATTTTTAACTAATTGAGCACTATCCTTCTGTCTGTTAAAGTTTCTACAGATCCAACTGAGTCCATTCAACACGATATTGTATTTTTACTGGATTGTTCAGACGAAATGCAAAATGACTTTAAGGCAATGACTGGCTTTGTTGAGAGAATGATTGACAAATTCAATGTGGATGAAAACAAAGATCGTGTTTCAGTGGTGCAGTACAGCAGAGAACCCTCTGTTGATTTTTTTCTGAACACACACAAAACACAGAAGGATGTTGCTGACAATGTGCGCATTCTGAAGCATAAAGGAGGCAGACCCCTAAATTCTGGTGCAGCCCTTCAGTACGTCAAGGATAATGTTTTCACTGCCTCTTCTGGAAGTAGGAACCAACAGGGTGTCCCTCAGATTTTGGTTCTTTTAACTGGCGGACGATCCAGTGATGATGTCAGAAATGCTGTAAAAAACTTGAGAGGATTTGGTGCGATGGTATATGTGGTTGGAATAAAGAATGCAGATACCCTTGAGATACAGTCTATTTCACAAGAAGCCAGTCATGCTTTCTTTGCAGCAGACTCCATTAATCTGTCAGGCATTGAACAGCAAATATTTTCTGAAATCATGAACAATGAAACCCCTGCTATCAAACACACATTATATGGTAAGAAAAAATGACTGTTATGACTTTATGCTGTAACCTTGTGCACAACTTCAGATTGGCATATAACTTAATTCATGGGGTAACTTAATACTTGCAGGAACTTAACATTTTTCATCACACATTTCATCATCAAACATTTATTTTACTGCCTGTATGATTACAGATCCCAACAGAAGAGATGTTGTTTTTTTGCTTGATGGTTCTGATGATTCTCAGCAAAGATTCCCAGATATCAAAGATTTTGTGCAGAGAATAGTGGCGGACCTGAATATTGATGCGAACAGAGATCATGTGGCTGTGCTCCAGTACAGTAACGAGGCAGAGATTGATTTTGACTTGAGACGTTACTCAACACAGGATGATGTTCTTGATGCAGTAAGAGGCCTCAGTCACAAAGGAGGTTATCCTCACAACATTGGAGCAGCTCTCCAGTATGTAAAGGACCATGTATTTACTCCTGAATTAGGAAGTAGACTCCTTGAGGGAGTTCCACAGATACTTATACTACTAAGTAGTGGAAGATCTGAAGATGACATAAGGACCCCGGTCCGAATGCTGAAAAACACCGGTGTCATTACAATTGCCATTGGAACAACTGACGCTGACACCCTACAGCTGCAAACGATTTCTCATGAACCCAATTATGCAGTCTCTATTACTGATTACGAGGAACTTCCGGCAGCTAAGCAGGATGTGTTGTCATTGTTAAGAGATGCTTCTCAACGTCCAGAGCAAACCACTTCCCCAAAAGCTTTTGGTAAGATGTGATGTTTAAATCTTTTGGCTACAACGTTTTAGAAAAAAGAATAAGGCAATGCGCTAAAATAGATTAGAGATTATTGCTATAACTGAAATATTCACTGAAGCGTTTTAAATTACCTGTTAACTTCATATTTGTTTCTAAGTCTTTTGTCTTTGTTGCAGATTCAGAGAAAAAAGATGTAGTATTTCTTATTGATGGATCACATGACTCACGAAACAGCTTTGAAGAGATACGAGGCTTTGTTGAGAAAATGGTTGAACGTTTAAATCTTGATGAGAATAGAGACCAAGTGGCTATTGTTCAATTCAGCCGTGATGCCACGGCCAATTTCTACCTGAATTCCTATTCAACCAAGAACGATGTGCTCAATTCCATAAAAACAATAAGACATAAGTTGGGCAGACCTCTTAACATTGGCAAAGCACTTGAGTTTGTCAAAGACAATGTCTTTGCTGACTCAGTTGGAGGCAGAAGCGCAGAATCAATCCCTCAATATTTGTATGTTTTTAGTGGTGGGAGGTCAGGGGATGATGTCAGAGGACCAGCACAATCACTCAAAGAAAATGGCATAAATACTTTTACTATTGGAACAAAGAATGCTGATACATTGGAAATGCAAACCATCTCTTTCACTCCAGCACATTATTTTCATGTCACAAACTTTAACAATCTGCAAAGCATACCTCCATCTATAGAAGCCACATTGAGGGGTGTTCAAGAAACAACAGAAATGCCAACTGCAATTGGTAAGATTAAGAGCAATAGTCATAATTTTTACATGAAGATCTGCTAGATGGACATACAAGTTGTATGATTTAAAAAAAATGTCCGTCTAAGGTAAAGATGTTGGTTTTGTAAAATGTTTGTTTTTATCAATTTCAGACACTTCCACAATTTCAGAGTTAAAGCTGCTGAGTGCCGATGTTGTTTTTCTTATTGATGGATCAGATGAAATGCGAGCAAGTGAAAGACACATTTTTGATTTTGTCAGAGAGTTTGTTAAGCAAACAGAAATTGGGCCAAGCAAGGTGCAAGTGGCTCTGATTCAGTACAGCACAGAGCCCACATCTGAGTTTTTCTTGAACACGCACTCACTTAAAGACGATGTCATTGGTCATTTGAGCAATGTCAAACTAAAAGGAGGGTTCAGTGTGAATACTGGTCTGGCCCTTGAATACGTGAAGAACAATGTGTTCAGTGCTTCATCTGGGAGCAGAGCCCAGCAGGGAGTTCCACAGATACTGATTCTCTTAAGTGGGAGAAAGTCAGAAGATGATGTCTTAGGTTCAGTGGAAAGAATGAGAAAGACTGGAATTGTAATTTTCAGTGTTGGCATGATTGATGCAGAAAGACTGGAGATGGAGCAAATAGCACACAGCCCTAAAGCGAAGTATTTAATCAAGGGCATTTCTGACTTTCCTCTTGTGAGAGACCAGTTGCTGTCAGACATTGCATCTCATAAAGACATTGACAGCCCTGGTGTAGGTGAGTGAGATTGATTTTACTTTACTTTAACTTTAATTAATAGATACATGGAACACTATCTTTATAATGTACAACAATTCAAACCCTGTATACTGCATGTATTTGACTTTCATCCACAGTTTTCAGATTTATTTTGTTAACCAACTTATATGACTCTGGACTTTTCTAGGTTCAAGCACCAGTATAAGGAGAAATGTTGTCTTTCTCATTGATGGATCTGATGATGCCAGGATTCGATTCCCTGCTTTACGTGAATTTGTTGCAAAGATTGTTGACGGCTTAGACCTGAACCAAGGAAAAGATAAAGTAGCTGTTGTGCAGTATAGCAACAATGCTGAACTCAATTTCAATTTAAATACCTACAAAACAAAAAAAGATGTTCTTAAGCACGTTGCAAGTTTAAAACCAAAAGGTGGAAGACCTCAGTATATTGGAGCGGCATTGCAGTTTGTGAAGGATAACGTCTTTATTTCAAATGCTGGAGGTCAGCATCAGGAAGGTACCAAGCAGATACTCGTCATATTGGCTAGTGGAAGGTCTAGAGATTCTCCACGAGGCCCTGCAAGTAAGCTGAAGGCTGAAGGGGTTGTCACATTTGCAATTGGATCAAGAATGACAAATTCCGCTGAGATGCAAGTAATTTCCGCTGACCCAAATTATGCCTACTCAGTCCCTGACTTTGTAAATCTCCCTCGTATTCAACAAAGTTTAATGAGTCATCTCACTCAAATGGGGGCTGAGGATGAAACTAAAGCAGGTAAGAATTTCGATTATTTGAAAATGTATTCAAACAAAGCTTCCGTAGGTGATACATATATAATGATTGTGATTAACATAATTTAACTCTACTTTTGTTAACAGACAACCATATTGAAAATGGAAGAGACATAGTTTTTCTTTTGGATGGATCTGATAACACCAGCAATGGATTTTCAGCAATTCAAGATTTCTTGTACAAAGTAATAGAAAGGTTAAACATTGGACCAAATGAAGACAGAGTTGCTGTTATTCAATTCAGCAATGTGGCACGAGCCAATTTCTTTTTAAATTCCTTTATGAAGAAGGAAGCTGTCTTGACAGCTGTCAGAAGGCTCTCACACAAAGGTGGAAGACCTCTGAAAATGGGTGCAGCTCTCACATATGTTAAAGAGAATGTATTCACAACTGCCTCAGGTAGCAGATACACTGCAAATGTGCCACAAACTCTTGTTGTTGTAAGTGGTGGACCATCAAATGACAGTGTGGATTTGCCTTCTGCTTCTCTAAAAGAAAGCAATGTCACAATATTAACCATTGGAACAAAATACGCTGACCCTAAAGAAATGGAGAAACTATCTCATAATTCAAGTTACACTTTTTCTGTTTCTGATGAAGCTGAACTTACAAATATACAAGAGAAAGTTGTTGGTACAATTATGGAAGAAACATTGAAAAGTGAAGTTCCAAAAACTGAAGTCATTGGTAAGAATAATTGCATTGATACCCTTTATTGAAGAACAATGTAAATCAAGAAAAGCTGTGAAAATTGAGGTTAGCTTTCATCCTATGACTCTTGACAACAAACCTAAACATCTCTACAATTCTATGTTCCCTAGTGGAGAGACAACAACCAGGAAGAGATTTTGTGTTCTTGTTGGATGGATCTGATAGTACAAGAAGTGGATTCCCAGCCATGCAAGACTTTGTCCAAAGAGTAGTAGAGAAACTCAGTGTGGACGACAACAAAGACCGTGTCTCAGTGGTGCAGTACAGCAGAGATCCAGCTGTCAATTTCTATCTGAACACATACACGACAAAAGGGGAAATCCTTGACACAGTCAGAGGTTTGAAACACAAAGGCGGAAGACCCCTCAACACTGGAGCAGCTCTCCAGTACTTGAGGGATAATGTCTTTACAGCCTCTGCTGGAAGCAGGCGCCTAGAAGGAGTTCCACAGATCCTGTTATTGCTAAGTGGCGGAAGGTCTTTTGACAGTGTTGATGCACCAGCCTCTGATCTCAAACAGCTGGGTGTCTTGACCTTCGCGATTGGAACCAGGAGCTCTGATAGCAGAGAACTGGAAAAGATATCCCACGGTCCCAATTTTGTTCTATCTGTGTCTGATTTCAATGACCTTCCCAGTATCCAACAGCAACTTCAGTCCTCGGTGGAGGCTGTGGTTATAGACGTCACCCCACAAACCCCAACTGTACTTGGTATGTTAACAAGCATGTCCTCTTGTTGGCCTGAAGCCTACCTGACTTATTTGACCTACATTGTCCTTTTAAATAGAGAGAGTGACGGTTTTCTTTTCACTGTTTACAATTAAAGTAGTCATTGCTAGGTGCTTTTAAAAAGATAGTCCAAATCTTGAGAACTATTCCATGCACATATTATTGCAAAAGTTTTAATATTTTGTCTACCTGTCTTTTCTCAGTTGACACTGCCAAAAAGGACATTGTGTTCCTTCTGGATGGCTCTGATAGCACAAGGAATGGCTTCCCTGCCATGCGTGATTTTGTTGAGAGCATGGTGGAGAAACTCAATGTGGGAGAGGACAGAGACCGTGTCTCTGTAGTACAGTACAGCAAAGATGCAGAGGTCAATTTCTACTTGAAAACATACAGCACAAAAGAAGATATTGTCGATTCGGTTAGAGGGTTGAGACACAAAGGAGGCAGACCCCTCAACACCGGGGCTGCCCTCCAATACGTCAGAGAATATGTCTTTACAAACTCCTCCGGGAGTAGGCGCCTGCAGGGTGTTCCACAGATGTTGATCCTGCTAAATGGTGGAAGGTCTTTTGACAATGTAGACACCCCAGCCTCTGCTCTCAAACAGCAGGGCATCATTGTGCTTGGTATTGGAACAAGGAACTCTGACAGTGGAGAGCTGAGGAAGATCTCATATGACCCTAGTTACGCTCTATCAGTGTCTGAGTTTACTGACCTCCCCAGTGTCCAAGAACAGCTCTCCTCTGTGATGAGCACAGTGCTAGTGAGAGCTATGCCGGTAACACCAACAGAAACTGGTAAGACAGTGACTTACTTACTTTCCAAAATCATTGTAGGATGCAATTTGAACTGTATTCAAGTGTAATTCACTAAATTCAGCTTTGAAAAAAACAGTTGCGCCATCAGAATTGCTGTTAGAATTTCGGTTTGTTTTCATCATATGACTCTTGATAACAAACCTAAACATCTCTCAAATTCTATGTTCCCTAGTGGAGAGACAACAACCAGGAAGAGATTTTGTGTTCTTGTTGGATGGATCTGATAGTACAAGAAGTGGATTCCCAGCCATGCAAGATTTTGTCCAAAGAGTAGTAGAGAAACTCAGTGTGGACGACAACAAAGACCGTGTCTCAGTGGTGCAGTACAGCAGAGATCCAGCTGTCAATTTCTATCTGAACACATACACGACAAAAGGGGAAATCCTTGACACAGTCAGAGGTTTGAAACACAAAGGCGGAAGACCCCTCAAAACTGGAGCAGCTCTCCAGTACTTGAGAGATAATGTCTTTACAGCCTCTGCTGGAAGCAGGCGCCTAGAAGGAGTTCCACAGATCCTGTTATTGCTAAGTGGCGGAAGGTCTTTTGACAGTGTTGATGCACCAGCCTCTGATCTCAAACAGCTGGGTGTCTTGACCTTCGCGATTGGAACCAGGAGCTCTGATAGCAGAGAACTGGAAAAGATATCCCACGGTCCCAATTTTGTTCTATCTGTGTCTGATTTCAATGACCTTCCCAGTATCCAACAGCAACTTCAGTCCTCTGTGGAGGCTGTGGTTATAGACGTCACCCCACAAACCCCAACTGTACTTGGTATGTTAACAAGCATGTCCTCTTGTTGGCCTGAAGCCTACCTGACTTATTTGACCTACATTGTACTTTTAAATAGAGAGAGTGACAGTTTTCTTTTCACTGTTTACAATGAAAGTAGTTATTGCTAGGTGCTTTTAAAAAGATAGTCCAAATCTTGAGAACTTTTCCATGCACATATTATTGCAAAGGTTTTAATATTTTGTCTACCTGTCTTTTCTCAGTTGACACTGCCAAAAAGGACATTGTGTTCCTTCTGGATGGCTCTGATAGCACAAGGAATGGCTTCCCTGCCATGCGTGATTTTGTTGAGAGGGTGGTGGAGAAACTCAATGTGGGAGAGGACAGAGACCGTGTCTCTGTAGTACAGTACAGCAAAGATGCAGAGGTCAATTTCTACTTGAAAACATACAGCACAAAAGAGGATATTGTCGATTCGGTTAGAGGGTTGAGACACAAAGGAGGCAGACCCCTCAACACCGGGGCTGCCCTCCAATACGTCAGAGAATATGTCTTTACAAACTCCTCCGGGAGTAGGCGCCTGCAGGGTGTTCCACAGATGTTGATCCTGCTAAATGGTGGAAGGTCTTTTGACAATGTAGACACCCCAGCCTCTGCTCTCAAACAGCAGGGCATCATTGTGCTTGGTATTGGAACAAGGAACTCTGACAGTGGAGAGCTGAGGAAGATCTCATATGACCCTAGTTACGCTCTATCAGTGTCTGAGTTTACTGACCTCCCCAGTGTCCAAGAACAGCTCTCCTCTGCGATGAGCACAGTGCTAGTGAGAGCTATGCCGGTAACACCAACAGAAACTGGTAAGACAGTGACTTACTTACTTTCCAAAATCATTGTAGGATGCAATTTAAACTGTATTCAAGTGTAATTCACTAAATTCAGCTTTGAAAAAAACAGTTGCGCCATCAGAATTGCTGTTAGAATTTCGGTTTGTTTTCATCATATGACTCTTGATAACAAACCTAAACATCTCTCAAATTCTATGTTCCCTAGTGGAGAGACAACAACCAGGAAGAGATTTTGTGTTCTTGTTGGATGGATCTGATAGTACAAGAAGTGGATTCCCAGCCATGCAAGATTTTGTCCAAAGAGTAGTAGAGAAACTCAGTGTGGACGACAACAAAGACCGTGTCTCAGTGGTGCAGTACAGCAGAGATCCAGCTGTCAATTTCTATCTGAACACATACACGACAAAAGGGGAAATCCTTGACACAGTCAGAGGTTTGAAACACAAAGGCGGAAGACCCCTCAAAACTGGAGCAGCTCTCCAGTACTTGAGGGATAATGTCTTTACAGCCTCTGCTGGAAGCAGGCGCCTAGAAGGAGTTCCACAGATCCTGTTATTGCTAAGTGGCGGAAGGTCTTTTGACAGTGTTGATGCACCAGCCTCTGATCTCAAACAGCTGGGTGTCTTGACCTTCGCGATTGGAACCAGGAGCTCTGATAGCAGAGAACTGGAAAAGATATCCCACGGTCCCAATTTTGTTCTATCTGTGTCTGATTTCAATGACCTTCCCAGTATCCAACAGCAACTTCAGTCCTCGGTTGAGGCTGTGGTTATAGACGTCACCCCACAAACCCCAACTGTACTTGGTATGTTAACAAGCATGTCCTCTTGTTGGCCTGAAGCCTACCTGACTTATTTGACCTACATTGTACTTTTAAATAGAGAGAGTGACAGTTTTCTTTTCACTGTTTACAATTAAAGTAGTTATTGCTAGGTGCTTTTAAAAAGATAGTCCAAATCTTGAGAACTTTTCCATGCACATATTATTGCAAAGGTTTTAATATTTTGTCTACCTGTCTTTTCTCAGTTGACACTGCCAAAAAGGACATTGTGTTCCTTCTGGATGGCTCTGATAGCACAAGGAATGGCTTCCCTGCCATGCGTGATTTTGTTGAGAGGGTGGTGGAGAAACTCAATGTGGGAGAGGACAGAGACCGTGTCTCTGTAGTACAGTACAGCAAAGATGCAGAGGTCAATTTCTACTTGAAAACATACAGCACAAAAGAGGATATTGTCGATTCGGTTAGAGGGTTGAGACACAAAGGAGGCAGACCCCTCAACACCGGGGCTGCCCTCCAATACGTCAGAGAATATGTCTTTACAAACTCTTCCGGGAGTAGGCGCCTGCAGGGTGTTCCACAGATGTTGATCCTGCTAAATGGTGGAAGGTCTTTTGACAATGTAGACACCCCAGCCTCTGCTCTCAAACAGCAGGGCATCATTGTGCTTGGTATTGGAACAAGGAACTCTGACAGTGGAGAGCTGAGGAAGATCTCATATGACCCTAGTTACGCTCTATCAGTGTCTGAGTTTACTGACCTCCCCAGTGTCCAAGAACAGCTCTCCTCTGCGATGAGCACAGTGCTAGTGAGAGCTATGCCGGTAACACCAACAGAAACTGGTAAGACAGTGACTTACTTACTTTCCAAAATCATTGTAGGATGCAATTTGAAACTGTATTCAAGTGTAATTCACTAAATTCAGCTTTGAAAAAAACTGTTGCGCCATCAGAATTGCTGTTAGAATTTCGGTTTGTTTTCATCATATGACTCTTGATAACAAACCTAAACATCTCTCAAATTCTATGTTCCCTAGTGGAGAGACAACAACCAGGAAGAGATTTTGTGTTCTTGTTGGATGGATCTGATAGTACAAGAAGTGGATTCCCAGCCATGCAAGACTTTGTCCAAAGAGTAGTAGAGAAACTCAGTGTGGACGACAACAAAGACCGTGTCTCAGTGGTGCAGTACAGCAGAGATCCAGCTGTCAATTTCTATCTGAACACATACACGACAAAAGGGGAAATCCTTGACACAGTCAGAGGTTTGAAACACAAAGGCGGAAGACCCCTCAAAACTGGAGCAGCTCTCCAGTACTTGAGGGATAATGTCTTTACAGCCTCTGCTGGAAGCAGGCGCCTAGAAGGAGTTCCACAGATCCTGTTATTGCTAAGTGGCGGAAGGTCTTTTGACAGTGTTGATGCACCAGCCTCTGATCTCAAACAGCTGGGTGTCTTGACCTTCGCGATTGGAACCAGGAGCTCTGATAGCAGAGAACTGGAAAAGATATCCCACGGTCCCAATTTTGTTCTATCTGTGTCTGATTTCAATGACCTTCCCAGTATCCAACAGCAACTTCAGTCCTCGGTGGAGGCTGTGGTTATAGACGTCACCCCACAAACCCCAACTGTACTTGGTATGTTAACAAGCATGTCCTCTTGTTGGCCTGAAGCCTACCTGACTTATTTGACCTACATTGTCCTTTTAAATAGAGAGAGTGACGGTTTTCTTTTCACTGTTTACAATTAAAGTAGTCATTGCTAGGTGCTTTTAAAAAGATAGTCCAAATCTTGAGAACTATTCCATGCACATATTATTGCAAAGGTTTTAATATTTTGTCTACCTGTCTTTTCTCAGTTGACACTGCCAAAAAGGACATTGTGTTCCTTCTGGATGGCTCTGATAGCACAAGGAATGGCTTCCCTGCCATGCGTGATTTTGTTGAGAGGGTGGTGGAGAAACTCAATGTGGGAGAGGACAGAGACCGTGTCTCTGTAGTACAGTACAGCAAAGATGCAGAGGTCAATTTCTACTTGAAAACATACAGCACAAAAGAGGATATTGTCGATTCGGTTAGAGGGTTGAGACACAAAGGAGGCAGACCCCTCAACACCGGGGCTGCCCTCCAATACGTCAGAGAATATGTCTTTACAAACTCCTCCGGGAGTAGGCGCCTGCAGGGTGTTCCACAGATGTTGATCCTGCTAAATGGTGGAAGGTCTTTTGACAATGTAGACACCCCAGCCTCTGCTCTCAAACAGCAGGGCATCATTGTGCTTGGTATTGGAACAAGGAACTCTGACAGTGGAGAGCTGAGGAAGATCTCATATGACCCTAGGTACGCTCTATCAGTGTCTGAGTTTACTGACCTCCCCAGTGTCCAAGAACAGCTCTCCTCTGTGATGAGCACAGTGCTAGTGAGAGCTATGCTGGTAACACCAACAGAAACTGGTAAGACAGTGACTTACTTACTTTCCAAAATCATTGTAGGATGCAATTTGAACTGTATTCAAGTGTAATTCACTAAATTCAGCTTTGAAAAAAACTGTTGCGCCATCAGAATTGCTGTTAGAATTTTGGTTTGTTTTCATCATATGACTCTTGACAACAAACCTAAACATCTCTCAAATTCTATGTTCCCTAGTGGAGAGACAACAACCAGGAAGAGATTTTGTGTTCTTGTTGGATGGATCTGATAGTACAAGAAGTGGATTCCCAGCCATGCAAGACTTTGTCCAAAGAGTAGTAGAGAAACTCAGTGTGGACGACAACAAAGACCGTGTCTCAGTGGTGCAGTACAGCAGAGATCCAGCTGTCAATTTCTATCTGAACACATACACGACAAAAGGGGAAATCCTTGACACAGTCAGAGGTTTGAAACACAAAGGCGGAAGACCCCTCAACACTGGAGCAGCTCTCCAGTACTTGAGGGATAATGTCTTTACAGCCTCTGCTGGAAGCAGGCGCCTAGAAGGAGTTCCACAGATCCTGTTATTGCTAAGTGGCGGAAGGTCTTTTGACAGTGTTGATGCACCAGCCTCTGATCTCAAACAGCTGGGTGTCTTGACCTTCGCGATTGGAACCAGGAGCTCTGATAGCAGAGAACTGGAAAAGATATCCCACGGTCCCAATTTTGTTCTATCTGTGTCTGATTTCAATGACCTTCCCAGTATCCAACAGCAACTTCAGTCCTCGGTGGAGGCTGTGGTTATAGACGTCACCCCACAAACCCCAACTGTACTTGGTATGTTAACAAGCATGTCCTCTTGTTGGCCTGAAGCCTACAGTACCTGACTTATTTGACCTACATTGTCCTTTTAAATAGAGAGAGTGACGGTTTTCTTTTCACTGTTTACAATTAAAGTAGTCATTGCTAGGTGCTTTTAAAAAGATAGTCCAAATCTTGAGAACTATTCCATGCACACATATTATTGCAAAGGTTTTAATATTTTGTCTACCTGTCTTTTCTCAGTTGACACTGCCAAAAAGGACATTGTGTTCCTTCTGGATGGCTCTGATAGCACAATGAATGGCTTCCCTGCCATGCGTGATTTTGTTGAGAGGGTGGTGGAGAAACTCAATGTGGGAGAGGACAGAGACCGTGTCTCTGTAGTACAGTACAGCAAAGATGCAGAGGTCAATTTCTACTTGAAAACATACAGCACAAAAGAGGATATTGTCGATTCGGTTAGAGGGTTGAGACACAAAGGAGGCAGACCCCTCAACACCGGGGCTGCCCTCCAATACGTCAAAGAATATGTCTTTACAAACTCCTCCGGGAGTAGGCGCCTGCAGGGTGTTCCACAGATGTTGATCCTGCTAAATGGTGGAAGGTCTTTTGACAATGTAGACATCCCAGCCTCTGCTCTCAAACAGCAGGGCATCATTGTGCTTGGTATTGGAACAAGGAACTCTGACAGTGGAGAGCTGAGGAAGATCTCATATGACCCTAGTTACGCTCTATCAGTGTCTGAGTTTACTGACCTCCCCAGTGTCCAAGAACAGCTCTCCTCTGCGATGAGCACAGTGCTAGTGAGAGCTATGCCGGTAACACCAACAGAAACTGGTAAGACAGTGACTTACTTACTTTCCAAAATCATTGTAGGATGCAATTTGAACTGTATTCAAGTGTAATTCACTAAATTCAGCTTTGAAAAAAACAGTTGCGCCATCAGAATTGCTGTTAGAATTTCGGTTTGTTTTCATCATATGACTCTTGATAACAAACCTAAACATCTCTCAAATTCTATGTTCCCTAGTGGAGAGACAACAACCAGGAAGAGATTTTGTGTTCTTGTTGGATGGATCTGATAGTACAAGAAGTGGATTCCCAGCCATGCAAGACTTTGTCCAAAGAGTAGTAGAGAAACTCAGTGTGGACGAAAACAAAGACCGTGTCTCAGTGGTGCAGTACAGCAGAGATCCAGCTGTCAATTTCTATCTGAACACATACACGACAAAAGAGGAAATCCTTGACACAGTCAGAGGTTTGAAACACAAAGGCGGAAGACCCCTCAAAACTGGAGCAGCTCTCCAGTACTTGAGGGATAATGTCTTTACAGCCTCTGCTGGAAGCAGGCGCCTAGAAGGAGTTCCACAGATCCTGTTATTGCTAAGTGGCGGAAGGTCTTTTGACAGTGTTGATGCACCAGCCTCTGATCTCAAACAGCTGGGTGTCTTGACCTTCGCGATTGGAACCAGGAGCTCTGATAGCAGAGAACTGGAAAAGATATCCCACGGTCCCAATTTTGTTCTATCTGTGTCTGATTTCAATGACCTTCCCAGTATCCAACAGCAACTTCAGTCCTCGGTGGAGGCTGTGGTTATAGACGTCACCCCACAAACCCCAACTGTACTTGGTATGTTAACAAGCATGTCCTCTTGTTAGCCTGAAGCCTACCTGACTTATTTGACCTACATTGTACTTTTAAATAGAGAGAGTGACAGTTTTCTTTTCACTGTTTACAATTAAAGTAGTCATTGCTAGGTGCTTTCAAAAAGATAGTCCAAATCTTGAGAACTATTCCATGCACATATTATTGCAAAGGTTTTAATTGTTTGTCTACCTGTCTTTTCTCAGTTGACACTGCCAAAAAGGACATTGTGTTCCTTCTGGATGGCTCTGATAGCACAAGGAATGGCTTCCCTGCCATGCGTGATTTTGTTGAGAGGGTGGTGGAGAAACTCAATGTGGGAGAGGACAGAGACCGTGTCTCTGTAGTACAGTACAGCAAAGATGCAGAGGTCAATTTCTACTTGAAAACATACAGCACAAAAGAGGATATTGTCGATTCGGTTAGAGGGTTGAGACACAAAGGAGGCAGACACCTCAACACCGGGGCTGCCCTCCAATACGTCAGAGAATATGTCTTTACAAACTCCTCCGGGAGTAGGCGCCTGCAGGGTGTTCCACAGATGTTGATCCTGCTAAATGGTGGAAGGTCTTTTGACAATGTAGACACCCCAGCCTCTGCTCTCAAACAGCAGGGCATCATTGTGCTTGGTATTGGAACAAGGAACTCTGACAGTGGAGAGCTGAGGAAGATCTCATATGACCCTAGTTACGCTCTATCAGTGTCTGAGTTTACTGACCTCCCCAGTGTCCAAGAACAGCTCTCCTCTGCGATGAGCACAGTGCTAGTGAGAGCTATGCCGGTAACACCAACAGAAACTGGTAAGACAGTGACTTACTTACTTTCCAAAATCATTGTAGGATGCAATTTGAACTGTATTCAAGTGTAATTCACTAAATTCAGCTTTGAAAAAAACTGTTGCGCCATCAGAATTGCTGTTAGAATTTCGGTTTGTTTTCATCATATGACTCTTGATAACAAACCTAAACATCTCTCAAATTCTATGTTCCCTAGTGGAGAGACAACAACCAGGAAGAGATTTTGTGTTCTTGTTGGATGGATCTGATAGTACAAGAAGTGGATTCCCAGCCATGCAAGACTTTGTCCAAAGAGTAGTAGAGAAACTCAGTGTGGACGACAACAAAGACCGTGTCTCAGTGGTGCAGTACAGCAGAGATCCAGCTGTCAATTTCTATCTGAACACATACACGACAAAAGGGGAAATCCTTGACACAGTCAGAGGTTTGAAACACAAAGGCGGAAGACCCCTCAAAACTGGAGCAGCTCTCCAGTACTTGAGGGATAATGTCTTTACAGCCTCTGCTGGAAGCAGGCGCCTAGAAGGAGTTCCACAGATCCTGTTATTGCTAAGTGGCGGAAGGTCTTTTGACAGTGTTGATGCACCAGCCTCTGATCTCAAACAGCTGGGTGTCTTGACCTTCGCGATTGGAACCAGGAGCTCTGATAGCAGAGAACTGGAAAAGATATCCCACGGTCCCAATTTTGTTCTATCTGTGTCTGATTTCAATGACCTTCCCAGTATCCAACAGCAACTTCAGTCCTCGGTGGAGGCTGTGGTTATAGACGTCACCCCACAAACCCCAACTGTACTTGGTATGTTAACAAGCATGTCCTCTTGTTGGCCTGAAGCCTACCTGACTTATTTGACCTACATTGTCCTTTTAAATAGAGAGAGTGACGGTTTTCTTTTCACTGTTTACAATTAAAGTAGTCATTGCTAGGTGCTTTTAAAAAGATAGTCCAAATCTTGAGAACTATTCCATGCACACATATTATTGCAAAGGTTTTAATATTTTGTCTACCTGTCTTTTCTCAGTTGACACTGCCAAAAAGGACATTGTGTTCCTTCTGGATGGCTCTGATAGCACAAGGAATGGCTTCCCTGCCATGCGTGATTTTGTTGAGAGGGTGGTGGAGAAACTCAATGTGGGAGAGGACAGAGACCGTGTCTCTGTAGTACAGTACAGCAAAGATGCAGAGGTCAATTTCTACTTGAAAACATACAGCACAAAAGAGGATATTGTCGATTCGGTTAGAGGGTTGAGACACAAAGGAGGCAGACCCCTCAACACCGGGGCTGCCCTCCAATACGTCAAAGAATATGTCTTTACAAACTCCTCCGGGAGTAGGCGCCTGCAGGGTGTTCCACAGATGTTGATCCTGCTAAATGGTGGAAGGTCTTTTGACAATGTAGACACCCCAGCCTCTGCTCTCAAACAGCAGGGCATCATTGTGCTTGGTATTGGAACAAGGAACTCTGACAGTGGAGAGCTGAGGAAGATCTCATATGACCCTAGGTACG